GTTTTGCTTTCTCTGGAGCATCCTCTCTCTGGAGCAAGAAAATATCCTGTATTTTCTTGATTTCTCTACCTTTATTTAAGCCTCAAGTTCTATAAATGTGTCACTCGTTCTCTTTGCTCCGGGGTCTCTGCAGATACCCTCTTTCAGCCCTCCACCCTCAGGTGTCCTCTGGACTGGCTGCTTTCTATTGATGTATATCACACTTTGGTGACTTCCTTTCACTGCTCTCCTGAGCCACAACCACTGTGTTCTCTAGGTGTCACATTCAGTGATGTGCAGGTAAATGGTTTAACAATAGGTTCTCAAAACAAACAAGCAAACTCTGCTTTTTAGCGTTTCCTGATTCCCATGTTGCAGATAGTCCCTACATGGTGTGTTGCGATGGTGCATTGCCCACGTGATGTCACTGACCCTGGAGTTGGGAAGAGACGCATGCTGGGGCCAGCGACTTGCCCACACCACTGACTAGGACCACTTTGACAGAGATATCTCTAAAATACATTCATCCTTTTTCTGAGTTAACAAAGCATCCTGAATACTATTTAAGTTCATTTAGTGGCCCTGGGTTAGAAATATTAATATCACGCTCTCAGGCAAAAAGTATCTCTAAACATTATGTCATTGAGAGAGGAGATATTTACCAATAAACTAAAAAGGACTAAATAGCTTAAATACAAAATTAGATTAAATAATTAAGTAAACAATAGTAACTTGTATATTTTTGAAGGGTTTGTTCTTATTTGTTTGGTTTTTAAAATATAATATTCAAATCTAGTTGTAATGTACAGTTCAGGGGTAGAGAAACTTTCGTATTGGAAGGCCACATTAATTTAGCCGTAATCAAATAAGGCTGCATTCAAGAAACTTCAATCAGATATACTTTAAAATGCACATTATTTTGTAAAAATCTAACTACTATGTACTTAATAATTTCATACAATGGAAACTATTGTTAATTTTAAAGTTAACTAACTTTTTAATGCCTTTGTTGTGTCTGCTTTTTGTTGGAGAAAGCATTTGAATGTTTGGTTGCAGCTTGGAGGTCCACAGTTTCAGCTGATCCTCTAGATGGGTGTCAGTCGTTTGTGACCTTAGGGCATCTTGATTTGGAGTTAGGTAGGAGAATGTACATTCGTAGCCATAAGTGGTTGAAAAGCAAGAAAGCATTTTCTAGGGTGTATTGCCAAAGGGGTGGGTGTATTCTACTGCATTTTTCCCATATTTCAATTGGGTCTTTCTTAGTATCAAACAACAACTTCAAAATGCCATCTACTGAGAGCTCAATCAATTCCACCTATAGTTCTTTAGGTGCCTTGAGGATATCAACTTGGTAAAGCTGAAATGCTAATTTGAGTGTGATGTCATGATTCTCAAAGTCAGTGAACCTTTCATTGTATTCTCCAATTAATAGGTCTGTAACAGCTGTGCAACCTTCAAATGATTGGCATATATTATCCTGCTCATCAATGACCTTTGCTAACTGGGGAAAAAGTTCATCTGAAATTTCCTTTTGAAGAAGTGCTTTGGAAAAATATTGCTATTTTTGAAATACTTGGAATTTTTTGCCACGTATCACATATCGACTTTTAATAGTTTTACCTTGCAAAGAAATATTTAAGTTGTTTTGATTTGACATGATATCACACAGAAATGCTATATTCCTATAAAAATATTTTTTCAATAATTCACAATGCTGATTCCATTCTTCATAAAATTTAACCATCTGTTCTTGCAGAGATAAAACTTTGGCTAACACTTGTCCCTGTGATAGCCAACACACTTTAGAATGATACTGCAAGTCCACACTGAATACCTCAGTAGCTCCTCATTCAACTTTAACGTGTTACATAAACTGACAATGCTGTGTTGTACTTGCATGCATATAGTTTAACAATACTTGTAATTTGTTGCAAAGTATCACTTAAAATAGTAGCTCTAGCACATATATTTTGCTGATGTGAGATACAATGAAAAGAAATGAGAGCATATGGATCTGCTAATACTTTTTTTATCTGTGCAATAAGCCCTTCATGTTTTCCTATTATGGAAGGTGCACCATTTATACATACAGTCTCTAAATTTACCAAATTCAGTCCAACTTTACAACATTTATCTTGAAAGATCATGAAGATATCTATGCCCCGTGTTCTGTTCCCACGAGTGCCCAAAGTGAATAACTTTGTAGCAAAGAAAATCCTCTGTCATGACCTGAATGAAGTATAAAACCTGCACCAAGTTTGTAGTATTAGTTGATTCATCCAAAACAATTGAATAAGGTGTATTTTCCTTTGGAAGCATTGCATGAAGTTTTTCTATTAGGTTGAAGGCTAGTTCATGCTGTTGATCAGTTATGGTTTTCCTTAAAAGAGGTAGTTGTTTGTAGTTTGAAATGTTATCAGCGTCTAAGCATCCTACAATTTCAACAATGCATTCTTTCACATCATTGAATGACTTCCCCTTTTTCCTGACTATATAAGCTATTTTATAAGTTGCTTCAGTGGCATTATCCAGGTCTTATTGTTGCTTGAAAGAATTGTCTTTGCTTTTGCTTTTCATCTTTTCATTTCTGCGATACAATCTTTTGCACCTCTCCAATTTAAAATAATTGTGGTCCTTATGAGTGTGATAATGCTGATGAACTGTGCAATTATTCACAAATTCCACTTCAAACAGAAACACAGTGCACAGTTGTCAAAAACTGATAACAGACTGGTGTACTTGACCCCATAAACTCTCACCAACCAGCTTCGTGCAGTAGTGGTGCCAGTCAGATGAGAAGTTAGGACTAAATCATGAGCACTGCAACAATCAATTTAGCCTTTTTGGCTTACTGATATTCTAATTGTGCCAGTAATCTGGGAGGATTTTTTCATTAAAACTTATTTTATGCTTTGGTATTTTAAATATGTTCATTTTAAAAATAAAATAAAAACAGAGAAGATGAACAAAACTATATTAATAAAAATAAAAGGATTTGCTCTGTAAGAGTTGGGTTCAGTCAAAAGGCCACTCTTTTTTTTCTATTTATTTTTTATTTATTTCAGCATAATATGGGGGTACATATGTTAAGGTTACATACATTGCTATTGCCTTCCCTCCTCGAGTCAGAGCTTCAAGCGTGTCCATGCCCCCGACAATGCACAATGCACTTATAATGTATATATATAAACCCATCCCCGCCCCCCACCTGCCCGACACTCGATAAATGTTTTTTGGGGTTTTTTTTATAACATTTTATTTAGATTTTATAACTTTGTCTTTACTTAGCAAAGGTTAGAGGTATGCCTTTCTTGAGGACTTAAAAGGCCACATGTGGCCTTAAGGCCACAGGTTCCCCACCTCTGGTACGGTCATTACAGCTGCCATGCACCTTCTCCTTGGGATTATTCCCTGTCTGTTTTTATGGCCTTTTATTAGTGCTCTTATTTCAACCCTTCTCAAGCCCATTTTTTAAGTTCTCATGGAATAAATATTAATGGTTTCTCAAATAAAGGATGCAGATTTTCTAATAAGTGGCATTAATTTGGCTTCTCTTTCATTATGTGTGTTTTCTTTAATATCATAAAAGAGAATGCTATCCATGCATCTTCTGACAGAAAAGAAAATGAGTTTTTCTCTGTTTGAAAAGTTCATTTTAAAGGATTTTGTGATGCACAACAGCTTCAAAATAGGGTTGCTTTTCAGAATGAATTGCCTGCAGCTGCTCTTCAGGGTTTCTTTTTTTTTTTTTTTCGGAGCATATCAATCCTGTTTGGACATTAAAAAAAAAAACAGTGCATATTTATATCACTGATGGGCCAATAAATAAAAGGCTGCATTTTTAGAGGAAAGTTCCTGGGAACATAAGCAGAGACAAACAGAAGGTTGAAAACATGATGCTGCTTCTTATATTTCTGATATTTTGTGTTTTAAACATTTCTGTACATTTGTGGATGCAGGAGGTGGTGACACGTCACTTCATGATCAGGAAATATGTGTGAAATGAATGTGGATCTGGTGCGGTTGTCTGTAGACATTAGGCCTTTTCTTTTTTCCTACACAGCCTGCTGAAGGCAAATATTAACCAAGGTAAATTCAGCTTACTGCATGGAAGACATTTCTTTATGTCCAAGGAAATTAAAGCTAGTCAGCCATATACCTGCCACATAACTAGAAAAATACCTAGGGTGTCATCTTCATTTCAAAGCTGCGGTTTCTAGTGCCATCAATATGGCTACCGTGTTTCCCAAAAAATAAGACCTACCCATAAAATAAGCTCTAGCAGGATTTCTAAGCATTTGCTCAATGTAAGCCCATAATTTCTGCTTGGGTATTCAAAAAAGGATTTTACTTAATCTAAGATGAATTTTCACGTAGATATATGATCTCAATACATATGGTTCAAAGGGACTATTTAATTCTAGCTTTATTATACATCATGGTCTTGAGCCCAGAGTAAAGACATAAGCCCAGAGTAAGGACATAAGCCTCATTTTGAAATGGTGGTTAATAATTATCACAACTAGCAGTCTAATGAAAAGAAAAGAAACAAAACAGATTTGGCTAATGAATATTTTACACACAAAGTAGGGATGTGTAGGAATTTGGGGAGTTTTGTTCATTGTGCAAAATGATACTAGTTCTACTATTATAAGCCTGAAATTATTATTTTTTATTTCAAGTATGTTATACTAAGCCAACCTTTTTATTAAAATAATGAATTTAAGTCACAAAATATCTATATGGATTTTCTACTGTAGAAAATGATTTAAGAAGTATATCTCTAACTCACCAGATAGGTTAAAAATCTATTTATAATTGAAATATAATACTCAAAGTTATCTTAGTATATTTTCTGAGAGAAGTTTCATAGAATAGTAAATGAAGTATCAAAATTCTAATGATAATGATGACTGAAAGTGTGATTGAATATTCAGTCTTTTCCAGCCATAAAGTAAAGATTAAAATGGTATGATGATGCTTGAATTAGATTCTAATGAACTTTCTTTGCTTTGTTGTAGCTCTCAGCATTAGAGAGGCAGATCTTTGACTTCCTTGGTTTCCAATGGGCACCTATTCTTGGAAATTTTCTACATATAATAGTTGTCATATTGGGTTTGTTTGGAACCATTCAGTACAGACCTCGCTACATCATGGTGGTAAGTCTTATTTTTAATGTCTCTTCACACAAACACTACAAAATTACTATAAGAATATGAATAAAACAATTTAAGTGGCTCCCTCTGATATGATGTGGTATTGCTGTTCTAGCCCTCAGATATTCAATTTTGTTAAAAAGACAACAAAATGAATGTTTTACAGTGAGAGCAAAGCAACATGCCCATGGTGTGAGATGACATAGTGTCATTCTTAGTATAACTGATTTCAAGGTTCACAAAGAAATTTAAAATAGGCTTTGGACAGACTAGGAGATCTGGTTATGTTGTTGCTGTTATAAGTTGCAATGTGCATTAATGATCAATGTATCAATGTATCAATCTATCATTAACTTTCAAGGACATCTGTCATTAACCCTAAAAAGCCAACCTATCTAATAATTGTTTAACCACTGAAGACAATAATATAATTTAATTTTAATTGACTTAGGTCATTACAAATGAATTTATTGATGGATATTTAGTGCACACTGCTAATGTATTTCATGCTGTATGTTACTGAATTTTTCTCCATTTTATCAAGGCAAATATGAAGTATAAATCCATTCTCCAAGCTATGCCAAACACTCTGAGCTCACACTCCATTGTAGGACAATTTAATGAGGTAGATAGGCTTTGATCCACAATCTAATGGAAATTATTCACAGTAATTAGTTGTATTTTCTGTAAAAAGAGAGCGAGATTCTAGGCTACACATGTAAAAAGGTTGTGAGAAATAACAAACATATATAAGTAATTATAAATAGAAGTAACATATTCTAAAATGCTCATGGAGGCTGAGTAAATGTACGGCATTCAGTAGAATTACTGCATACTTCCTTGTAATGCAGTGACACTGCCTTACTAGAAGAAAACATAGACTTAAAGATATCCCATCTTTCAATTTTGGCTTAATCCAGTCACATCTGTGAAAAAGAATAAAGTTATAATTTTTTCCATAAGTGCACCCATTCTCTACTTTGAGTCTCACGATTGGATTTTTGATATCTTTCGTCATATCACAGAGGTGTAGGTAACTGCCCCGCAGACTCTGTACTCAAATGGCCCCAGAGCATTTGATGTTGCTCAATTTGCTGAACTAAACAATTTCTGCTTTACTCTTCTTCTCTTAACGATAGCCTTTCCTAGGCTACTGCATAATCTGCTAGAAGGGTGTTTCTTGGAGTTGAACTTGCAGACAGATGCTTTAATATCATGTACAAGGTCAAACTATTACTGGATTCTAAATATGTTCCAGTTTGTTACTTTGAAAATAGAGCACTTTTACTCGCCACAGACTTTCTATCTTACGATATTGGTGTCCTGCTGAGCCACAGGATACCAGTTGTCTGTGAAATCATAGACGGCTTCTATAGAATAAAGCTGTGACATTGTCCAGTCGTATTGCTTTTACTCACTAAATATCAATACGAACCCTACGTGCTGTTTGCACAACTACTGCCTTGGTTGAAGGATGTGCCTTCTCTCTTCCATATATGGACTTTCCTGCTTGCTTTCAGCCTTTCTCCCTTCCTAAGTGTTCTTTGTACTTTTCCTGAATCAATGGCTTAAAACCCTCACTGGCTCCTTAGCAGGATAAGATCTAAGAATATCCTTTCCTGATGCACCCGCCCAAGCTCATGTCTCACAATCCTTTCTTTTTTTTCTTTCTTTCTTCCTTCTCTTTTCTTTCCTTCTTCCCTCCCTCCCTTCCTTCCTTTCTTCCTTCCTCCTTTATTTCTTTCTTCCTCCCTCTTTCCCTTCCTCCCTTCTTTTTTTGTAACTTTCTTCCTTCCTTTTTTCATTTATTTATTCATTTAAAAGATATTTATTGAGTTCCTACTGTGCCTTTGGCATTATGGTGAGTGTGGACTACACTGGTGAGCAAATACAGCACATCCCCTGCCTTCCTGGGTGCTTACCTTACAGTCTAGTGAGGGGGGATATGCCTTCAACAAATAATTGTCCACATAAATGTTCAGTTGCAGCTGAGATAAGTGATACTAAAGGAGCACATTGTGTCACGAGATGACTAATTTGGGGTCTGACCTTAGCAGGGCAGCAGGGTAAGGTACCCTGCAGAAGTCCCTGGGAGGGGAGACCTGCAGTGTGAGTGTGAGAGTGAGTCCAGCAGTGAAGAAGGGGGTGAGGGGGATTCTTGCCGGGAATTAATACAGGGCACATAGTAGGAGGACTGTAGCAGTAATTCCCATTCACTTATTAGCATGTACTGAGGACCTATTACATGGTGCTAAGGTTGGATAAATAGGAAAGAATTAAAATTTCATAGTCCCTGCTCTCCAGAAGCTCATTATATAAGGAACGAGGAGGCGCAAGGGCCAGACTCTCTGGAGGTGGGGAAAAGGCAGGAAAGAGGAATGAGACTAACAGTGGGCCAAGGTCTGGGGAGGGCATGAGCCAGGTGCAGAGACCTGAGAGGGCAGACATTCTGTGCACTTCAATGTCACCTACTTTCTACCACTCCCTGACTCTCCAGCCTTGCATGGTGTTTGCGCCTCACCTCTGGCAACATTTTCTCAGTCCATCATGCACACTCACTGCCATGAACTTCAATGGCTAACCACTCCTGCTTCCCTTGCCTCTATTTCTTGAACATGATTTGTAATTTCTCCATGTTTATGTCTCCCTTACTAGGCAAAGAGCTCTTTGTGACCATAAAATGTAATTGGTGCTCAATGTATATTCATTTAAAATTCTCTCCATCTAGGCCCTACCAGTTCAGAGTGCCCCCATGATAAAGCTGTTGTCACCTCTCTGTCCGGTAGCTTTTCCTCTGCTTTCCTCTCTTCCTTCATATATGGAAGGCATTTTGTGTTTCAGATCAAAAAAAAAAAAAACAAAAAAAAACAAAAAAACATTCACAGCACAAAATCCATGTTTTTGCTCATCTTGATTCCCTCATTTCATGGGTCATGACAACCAAATCTCTATCAATTTATTTGCTATCTTATGCAAGATCTTCTCCCAGGAAGGGAAGAAAAAGGAATCTACACCAAACATGTCATTTGCAAGCATCTTACAAGGTAGGTATTAGCTTCCCTAATTTCACAGATGAAGAGCACAGTTAAAGATTGGTGAACTGCCAGCAACAGCCGGTAAGCGCACAGCTGGATGTGCATTGGCCTCACTGCTGTTATCGTTAGGTCAGAAGTGTTTGTGTGAACTGTGCCTTCTTTCCACCATCAGATTCCAGAAGAGATGTTATCATGGTCAGTATAAGTTTTTATTTTGGAAATGATCTTGGCCTACCTCTCAGCTGATCATAGACTATCATCACCTTTGTGGGATTCCAGATTACCTCTTACTCTACAGGCAATGTTTATTTGAAAATGCCTGGAAAATTAATCCATGGTATAGGAATCTGTCACAAAAGAGTCGCTTTTACGGGAATTCATGTTGTAACTGGGAGGGTTAATGCTTTTTTTTGCACCACAACAGCATTATTTTTAAGTTGTTTTCATAAATTACTTTTGTTTGAAGCTACAATTGGTGTATGAATTTCTGGTATGGAAAACTGAAAGGAAGCGACCATCACATTTACAAGTGTGTTGAAGAGCACCCTTCACATGGCAGTGAAAGTAGTCCTGCGGCAGAAATTCATACTGACTTTCACCTGAGTGGGAAAGGTTCGTTGAATGCAAGAAACTCACTTCTGCTTATTTTTTCAGTATCAGTCCTTATTGCTAAATTTACGAACATATGCTAATTAAAGTTAATTCATTTCAAATTAACAAACATCTTAGAGCACAAGGTAAAAAAAAAAAAAAAGTAAAGCTAAGTGCTCACACAGAGGTTAATAAAATACGTCTATCCACTACATCATGTAACAGAGCTCACAGGCTAGTTTTGCAAAAACACAGATAAGTCACTGCCATTTCTGACAACAAACAGGGTTCATCACAGCTGAATTTTAAGAATTAATCCTTTTTATGAAAATGGTTTATGTGAAGGACCATGAGGAACATGCTCTCCAATGTGTATAGGCAAATTGCCAAACTCCTTACAGTGTAAATCAAAGTATATAAAATTGCTCCTTTATTTATCTCTCCTATACCTTCTGAACCCCCCACTTGCCCTCCTTGCCATTTCCTCATGGAAAATGATTTATATTCCAAAGATCATGCTGTCCTTGCCTCCTCAGTTTGCACAGAGTGCAACTTCTGCCTGAAATGCTCTAATCTCATCCTCCCAGAAAACTCTTAATAATCCTTCAACTAAATTATCTCTGATTTTTAAAATTTCAATAGATTTAGGGGGTACAAGTGCAGTTTTATTACATATACATATATTGTATAGTGGGCTTTTAGTGTACCCATCCCCCCATATAGTGTACATAATACACAATCAGTAATTTTTCATCCTTCACCCCCCTCTCATCTCTACTTTTTTGAATATCCAATGTCCATTATATCACTTTCCGTGACCATGCACAGCTATAGGTTAGCTCTCGCTTATAAGTGAGAGCATTCCCCTAAGAACTTGAACAAGACAAGGGTGCCGACTGTCGCCACTGTATATTCAATAGTGCTGAAAGTCCTAGCCAGAGCATTCAAGCAAGAAAAAGAAATAAAGGGCATCTGAATCAGGAAAGAGGAGGTCAAACTATCGCTTTTTGCTTATTATATGATCTTGTATGTAGAAAACTCCAAAGACTCTGCTAAGAGACTCCTGGAATTGATGAACAAATTCAGCAAAGTCTCAGGCTACAAAATCAATGTACACAAATCAGTGGTATTTCTATACACCAATAACAGTAAAGCTAAAAATCAAATCACAGACTCAATACCATTCACAACAGCTACAAAGAAAATAAAATACCAAGGAATATACTTATTGGAGGAGGTGAAAGATCTCTACAAGGAGAAATACAAAACACTGGGGAAAGAAATCACAGATGACACAAACAAATGGAAAAACATATCATGTATATGGAACAGCAGAATTACCATTGTTAAAATATCTATACTACCCAAAGTAATTTA